ATATAAATATATATATATTATGTATATATTAATGATCATTACAGCATTATTGTCTAACTATATATGTTTTATATAGGAGAAAATTTGGGTTATGCTTGGTACAAGGACAAATTTTATGTTTGTAGTGATGTGTCACCACTATCACTCAGATTACCCTTGTGATGTGTTCTCCCGCCGCCCCGTCTTACATATTGAATGAGTGCGAGGACGATGTGAACCTCACTACCAGAAATTTTTGTGGTGCTTCGTACAAGCATACCCTATTTTCACTAATATATTATATATTATATATATATATATATTATTATATTATATATTAAGAAAAAAAACAATAACGCTTATATATATACTAGATATATATATATTACTTATAATATATATATAATATTATCATCTGAGAAAATAGTGAATTTCCGAGGTACCAAGTAGCTTGCGTAGTGAGGTGGCAGACATCTTATACCATACATCTACATTGGAATGATGAAGCATGTACTTGAGGCTCGTATTTCAAGGCTGTATGTATGAAGATTCCGCACATTCATACGAGTAGCTTGTAGTAGGGAATTTGTCCATACATCTACATTGGAATTGCTGACTGAGATGATATTGGAGCTCTATCTTCAAGCTGCTTGATGTATGGACAAGTTTCCGAGACTCCTACAAGTAGACTTGTACTCAACATCCATTTTCTCCATCTCTCTCTCTCTCCTCTCTCTCATATATAATATATATATATATATATATATATATATATATGAGAAAACTGTAGGAGCACTGCCCAGCGTACACTGTGGAGCGCTGCTTGGGTTTATTTGAAAAAAAACCAACGCGATATCATCTCACTGGCCAGCGCTCTCTTCCCCAAAAAATCAAAATTATCCCCAATTTTTCTCAATCTCTCTTAGATCTATCTCTCAGATCTCTTAATCCCTCTTCCTCCCCCTCTCAGATCTCTCAATCCCTTGCTTCCACGAGCTCCATTCCCCCAAGCAATGCTCCGCAGGTTCGATCTCTCTCGCGTCGCCACGATCTCCAGTGCACTGGGCAAATCCCTCCTCCACGAGATCCACTCCCCCGCCACCCACCACTAGCTCGTCCTCCACAAGAAGATCCAGGCTCCGGCCACAAATCCCTCCTTCACGAGATCCAGTCCGCCAATCTAGGTTAGACGCGATTTTGAAATTGAATTTAACTGTTCAAAATAAGACCAGTAAATTTTCGTGATTAATTTGTGTGCTCCTTTGTTCCATTCATCTCCAATTTGTTCTCAGTTGTGGGGATTTGATTCTGTCAATCATCCATGATTTTCTGCTCTAATTTGTTCTCAGTTATGTACATGAGTCAATCATGATAACAGTTATAAATTCATGTGTTTTACTAATATATCAACAGATTCTGTGACCTAATCATTGATTATTATAAGCTTGCAAAGATGCTTGCGGAATTGGTCATTAGAAACAATCTTCAACCTGATTTGGCTGTTGCAAGTAGTACCATTGATCTTTATGCAAGCTGTGGAAAGGGTAGAACTACGCAAATAGAGTACTTAATTTTACAACCTCAACCTCAAAGTATTTGGTTTTACGTAGCACGTTGGCGTCTGATCATGTAGAATATGGGCCAAGTAACAATCTTCAACCTGATTTGGCTGTTAGCTACTGGATACCAAGACACGTATCTGTATAACTCTGTTTTAGCAATAGTGATTTGATCTACAATCTCTCCCTTTAGCTACTTACTACTTTTTACTGATGTCTATTTATTTGAAATGGTTGAGTGTATTTTTTAAATTCAGCACTATCCTTTAGTCAATAATACCATAAAAATATAGTAGACGACTGAGAACAACTTTTACAAACAAGTCATAAAAGTGAATTCTGCCATACAATTTTACACGGATACGGGTGCGGGTGCGGATATGGTTAGTACAAACTGTAAGTATACTGTATATTCGAGGAAAAAACAGAATCACTGTAAGTATACTGTATATTCACTAATTTTCTTATGAGGTTATTTATGTTTTAAAAAGAGGTCTAAACATCAATATATAGAACTGAAGCATCGATATTCACTTGTCTTTTTTCCATTGATAATCTTTTTTCAAGGCACAAATTTCCAGGTGATATAATGGCCGATATTCACTTGTCTTTTTTCCATTGATAATCTTTTTTCAAGGCACAAATTTCCAGGTGATATAATGGCAAGAAAGAGTTTTTATGTTGTAAAGAGAGGTCTTTTTCAAGGCACAAATTTCCAGGTGATATAATGGCAAGAAAGAGTTTTTATGTTGTAAAGAGAGGTCGTCGTTGTGGTACTTTTTATAATTGGGAGGAATGCTTTTCTCAAGTTGATAGATTCCCAAATGCCTCCTACAAAGGGTATGCAACGTATGAAGAGGCTTTGAGTGAATGGGAGAAGCACTTAAGCGCGCGTGATTCATCATCCAGCTCAAGGCATGTGCAGCCACATGTTTGTGTTCAAGAACAAATGTTTCCAGAGGGGCATAATCTTCTTGAGGACAAGGGAACACCTAGGGAAACTGCTATTAAGTACATCTTTGCTTTTGTATTAGGTTCAGTGTTTACAATTTTAATATTTCTAGTATGTATCGTTGTAGTATTTGTTGGTTTATCTATTAGGAGAAACATGTGATGTTATTCGTGTATGATTCTTCAATGTGAGGATAAGTTTGCACAACTTGGGTCATTTTGTACTTAGTTTGTACTCAACTTGGGTCATTTTGTACTTAGTTTGCACAACTTGTTTAGAGATACACGTGGTGTACTTATCAGAAATATGTTTTCTAGGTATCAGCCTATATTTCCTTGCAGATTTGTTTCTATCCTGAAATCGGACATGCACCTTCTTCAGCTGAAATTTATCAATACATGCACCTTCTTCAGCTGAGGGTGTTTAGTGCTGGCCGAGGAGTTGTCGCTGATGTTTCATCTGCTTTGTTTTGGCCGTCATCGTCGCTGTTGGTGCTGGTCTCTCCATTGCTGCTGACAGCGTGGAGAAGAGTAGGTCTGAGATGGGAAGGTTGGATTTTGAGGGATGTTGGTCTTTTGAAAGGGGAGGATGAATGAAGAGGATGAGAGAGGGGAAGGATACTGGCTTCCATTGCTTTTGGTTAAGGCTTCTATCCTTTTTTTTATATGTTTTTTATGGTTGTGGTTGGTTGTCTGTAGAACCTTTATTTCCATGAGTATTTTGCTTTGAATGTTATGTGGTTCTAATGAAACCTGTTCGTGCTTATGCATAACAAGTTCCTGCTTATATACTACACGGTATATTCAACGTCATATAAATTTCTGTTCTTGATATGCATGGCTGATCCATGAATTCTCAGTCGTATTCAAAAGTTATCCTGCATAACGAGTTATCCTGTTGCCAGAAACACAGAGTTAACCAAAAAAAAGACTTCAAGTACACATGTATGTGATAGACTTGTGAACAGGTATGGAAGATTGCTACAAGAGCTGAAGCAAATACCCTTCAAACATGTATTCTTGCTGTGATTATTCATGAGCTGAAGCATCACCCTTCAAACATGTGCAATAACAATACGCAAATGAGATCAAAATGAGAAGCAAATTCATACATAAAATTTGCACAAAATGCTCAACAAATAATGCAATCACCAATGTGAACTTCATACAGAGTACTATAACAAATGGAAGCATAATTAAAGTGCTCAACAAACAAAATGCACTTCATACAGAGTACAATCTACCCATATTCTTCCAACAACTTGATTCTCCCATAAAATACCAATTTATACATAAAATTTGGCTCAGCAAAAGCCCAGCTTTGCAAATTTAAAATGTGCAATCTACCCAGCTTGCAATCTACCCAGCTTGCAGATTTCTTTTTGCTCTTACCTACAAAAAAGAAAATAGAACGTCAAGACAGTAGGATAACTAACTCAATATGCTATTATGAATGTCAAAGGGCAAGTTCAAAATAGGAAATCTATATGCTATCAAAGGGCAAGTAGGATAACCAATTCTATATTTGAAAAAAACTAAACAAATAAGAAATTCACAAAAAAGCTAAATATGAAAAAAAAATTGTACCTTGGCAAATTGACTTTACAGCTAGTTCTATAATGCCCGAGTTCCCCACATCTGCTACATATACGCTTCTTCCTCTCTTTTTTTCCTTGTGCTTGTTCTAAGCCTGACTAAATTCTAGTGGCATTGCGTGGCCGACCTTTAGTCCTTGCAGATTTTTCAGGATCACGAAGTGTAATCTGAGGAATGTGCTCCATTGTATGTGAAATGGGTGCTGAAATCTGAGGATTATCTTCTGTTTCTCTAACTTCTTCTTCAAGTGATTCTATGAATTTTGTTAACACATTATCTAATTTCTGCATCCTCTCTTCTGAATCAAATGCAAGCTCGAGCGCATTATTGAATTTTGCTCTTAAAGCCCAAGATTTCAACAAATTAATCTTCTCTTCACAGCTTGTGAGGTTTCTTCCAAATACAATATTGCCAACCCCAATGTTACGATGTCAAGCATGTATAGTCCAACGGTGTAGGATGTAATGATCGGGTAATGAAGAAATTTGGCTAGCCATCATTAGTGATAATATATGTCTACATACAACACCATTAGTTTCAAACAAAGCACAAGAACAAATGAATTGCATCTTACTGGATTCTTCATAAGTAACCACCTCCCATTTTTCTCTATCTGCAAACTTACAAATCTTGTATTCAATAATATCCCCATCTTTGCTCAATTCTTCACAAAACTCTGTACCAAATCCTTTGAATTCAGTTTGGAACACATCAAACATGTTGCGTGTATACATTTCTCCAGCTTGGACCTCAATCGGATGTCCAAGGAGCATGACAGGCTTTGTGTTAAGACTCTTAAAATCTTCATGAGCTTCACTTAAGCGACGATGAGTTAATGTTTTTTCATATTGTAACACAAACTCGTGTAATTGAGTCTGTGAGTTAACATACCCATCAAAAAATGCATTAATACTTTCACTTCTTTGGCTCGATCTCATTCCAGCAAAAAAAGTGTCCTTCAAATAACATGACACCCAATGTTGCTCTATCCTGATCTGTTATAATAGCACATGGTTCAACCCTATGCATGTATTTCAGCCATTCTTGAAATAACCAGACAAAGGTATCTTCTTGTTTATCAGCTAATAATGCACAACCAAGTAAAGTGGACTGTCTATGATGATTCACACCAGTAAATGGAGCAAATGGAAGACTGAACTTATTAGTTCTGTATGTCACATCAAACACAACAACATCACTGAATTGCAAATAAGACGCTCTTGATCTTCCGTCAGCCCAGAAAACACTCCTCATTTGTCCACTACTGTCCACTTCTATTGCAAAATAGAATTCTGGATCATTCGCTGTCAAACTCTGAAAATGTTTTATGATAGATATGCATTCATGGCCAATATTGTTGACTCTCTGGTATCTGATGTGATCAATACACTGTTGTGGTGTCACTAATTCGCCTTCTCTTCCAGTGGTTGCGTTAATGACGCGAGAAATAGTGGATGGAGGCATACCTTCTTCTTGCAGACTCTCAATAAGTCTTTTACAACTTTGAGATTTATGGAATTGTTGGTGTGATCTGTGCATCTTTACTTTGTCTGGACTACTCAACACATGATTTGTATGTTCTTCAACAAACCCCGTGACTTCCCATGATTTGTCCTCTAATACTTTAACTCTCATCATTGCCTTACATCCCACTCGGGTCTCTCGCCGAAAAGGCATCTCCATCTTGTCTCTATTAGATCTATAGCCCTCCTTATCACAAACAAACTTTCTATCCAGCACGTCTCTTGTCTTCTTCGAGTAATTTACCGTGCTCTTCCTTATTCCAAAACCCATCAACAATGCGTAATGGTTATAATAGTTATAAGCTTCTTCATAAGTATTAAATTTCATTCCGAGTAGTGGCTTAGGAGTATTTTCTGTACTGGCAGAAATTTCAATTCCACTAGCACTTGATTCTCCCATTCCGAACACTTTTTTTGCTGTAAAAGAGATGCATGGATTCATCAAGAAACAACTATAAAATACCCAAATATCAATTTCAGTTTAAACTCTCAAAACAATCTAGTGTAAATCTACTATAGTCATCTACAATATTTTGAAAGAAGGAATCATGCAAATGAACTACATCTCTGTTTCTACTAACACCAAAATACATGAGCTCAAGCAAAAAAGCAATTTGGTTCATATAACAAATTAAACTGAATAATCCTGAAAGTAGACAAGACAAAGGAGTTATATTGACTAAATGATAGTGCTGAATTTAAAAAATACACTCAACCATTTCAAATAAATAGACATCAGTACTCTATTTGCGTAGTTCTACCCTTTCCACGGCTTGCATAAAGATCAATGGTACTACTTGCAACAGCCAAATCAGGTTGAAGATTGTTTCTAATGACCAATTCCGCAAGCATCTTTGCAAGCTTATAATAATCAATGATTAGGTCACAGAATCTGTGGATATATTAGTAAAACACATGAATTTATAACTGTTATCATGATTGACTCATGTACATAACTGAGAACAAATTGGAGCAGAAAATCATGGATGATTGACAGAATCAAATCCCCACAACTGAGAACAAATTGGAGATGAATGGAACAAAGAAGCACACAAATTAATCACGAAAAATTACTGGTCTTATTTTGAACAGTTAAATTCAATTTCAAAATCGCGTCTGACCTAGATTGGCAGACTGGATCTCGTGAAGGAGGGATTCGTGGCCGGAGCCTGGATCTTCTCGTGGAGGACGAGCTCGTGGCGGGTGGCGGGGGGAGTGGATCTCGTGGAGGAGGGATTTGCCCAGCGCACTGGAGATCGTGGGGACGCGAGAGAGATCGAACTTGCGGAGTGCTGCTTGGGGGAAAGGAGCTCGTGGAAGCAAGGGATTGAGAGATCTGAGAGGGGGAGGAAGAGGGATTGAGAGATCTGAGAGATAGATCTGAGAGAGATTGAGGAAAATTGGGGATAATTTTGATTTTTTGGGGAAGAGAGCGCTGGGCAGTGAGATGATATCACGTTGGTTTTTTTCAAATAAACCCAAGCAGCTCTCCGCAGTGTACGCTGGGCAGTGCTCCTACAGTTTTCTCTCTCTCTATATATATATGGGAAAAGTGATTCTAAGGTGACACCTTAGATTCCCACCTAATAACGCGGCCTAAAATCACATCACTCCCTTTTTTTCTGATCCGCTCCGTTGAACTTGATCTACACGTTCTTAAACCCAAACACACCAATTTTGGGGTGAACCCATCGTGTTTTGATCATTCATTGAGCTGTGTAAAAATTTCTATTCATTCAAAACCGTTAAAATTACGGCGAGTGGATGAAGGATCAAAACACGACGGGCTCACCCCAAAATTGGTGTGTTTAGGTTTAAGAACGTGTAGATCATGTTCAACGGAGCGGATTGGAAAAAACAATTAGGGAATGATGTGATTTTAGGGTATGAAAGATATTTTGTATCGGAAAGTTGGAAGAATTACTGAATTAGTCATATGATATCCTCCGTAGTAGCTGTTGCCTCTACAGGCATTGAAGGAACTTGTTTGCTCTATCCTTTGTGTTTACTGATCAGGAGTATTCTTCATCTTCTTAAGCTTCCAATTTGATTAGCATTTCTAGAAAACTCATAAGTGGTGTAAACCTGGTTTAAAGATCTAAATGTCTAATTCTTTTATTTCTACATATTTCTAACTAAAGTTGCAATATGGATATTATAATTGCTTTTAGACTAGAATAAGAAATTGAGGAAATATAATTTCTTTTATGGTTATCTCAGTTTCTTTAGATAAAAATAGAAAGCTAAAGGAATTATAATTGCACTTAAGAGAGAATATCTCTTGAGATAGCTTCTGAATGGAGAAAAATGATTCCAGTTGCTGATCATAATTGAGATAAAAGCTTGTTGATGTAACCATTGTTTGCCTGTATATATACATATACATATGTATATATATATATATATATACATATGTGTGTGTGTGTGTGTGTATATACCTGACTTTCTCCTCTTTTCTTCTTCATTCCTCACGTTCTGAGCAGCAGTCACCCCCCTCAAAACCGAAGAAAATTTTATCTTATTTTGGGAGAAGATTCGTGAAGAAGGGTTCAAGAGGAGGGTGAGATCTACAGTTTTTGTGAAGAAGGATCGAGTTTTCTTCCACGTTTGACATATCAAAATATTTCCAAAAGGCGAGTTTCATCTCCTCCGAACTCATCCCCATTTTTTCTTTATTTTTATTGTATTTTTTAAAACCTATTATATGTGTAGAGTTCACCCCTTAACTTTATGACGTAAAAGTTTAATATTTTTTTCTGATGTAAAAGTTATGAAATAAATTATTTAATTAGGGTTGTAGATTCTAAATAAATGTAACATGAGATTTTTGTTAATTTAATTGTTTTTAGGATGAATTTACAAACATAATCATATTAGAGTTATTAGATCCCCTCAAATTGATTTTTTATAGTTTAATGTATCCGAGTAAACCCTAATTATACTAAATCAAGATTTTATATATGAGTTTCTTTTGAAAAATTTTGATTTTGGTGAATTTTAGAGAAAACCTGATGTTTTTTATCTGTGACCTAGTCGGTTGACTAATCAAAATAATCAGTCGACCGATTGGTCAGCAAGAACTAGGGTTCCTCTCTCGTCGGTCGACCGACATATGTATCCGTGGACCGATCGAGGTTTGTTGTTTGTGCACGTTTGTGCATGTTTGTGCATGTCGCCGACCGGTCAACCGATGAGATATCAGTCGACTGATCTGGTGTTGTATTGTAAATGTTGATCTTCCACATACGTTTGATCACAAACATGAAGTGCGAGTTGCACGTCGATACACGTGCGTGACCATGAGAGTGCACGTACTTGGTTAGAGCACGCACGAGCGTTTTGATGTGTGTAGCCTAATGTTTTGTGTTTGTCACGATAGGAAGTAATGATTATTTCAGTTTACGATAGTTGTGGATGCTTGTGTGCGTTAGTCCGTGCTCGCAATGAGAACACGCGTGACTACACTCTGAGTGCGTTTGTCCGTGTACCGAATGAGATTTAGTGGGTGACTACACTCCGTAATGTGTCATTGTTTAGGTGGTTGAGTGTGCATGTCCGTGCACCACATGATATAGCGGGCGACTGCACTCTGAGTGAGTTAGTCCGTGAGCCGCATGATACTGCGGATGACTACACACTACCTATTTAGGATGCCTATGACTCAAACGAGTACTGTTTGTTGACGTAGTCCAACATGTGACATTCTTATATCGTGGTATATACTTTGACGAGGCTTTCACAAGATTGTACATTTATTTCCGTGCCACCTACCTGAGGGTAGCGTAAGAAACTATGATACGACATATGCGATATGTTTTGGATGAGATGTTGATGGTGTATTTTTCTTTGTTGGTCATTTATTTATAGGTTTGGAGTTGATATTTAGCGATCTACAATTTGAGATACATTGTATATATATAAGGCTTTCCTTGTTTGGATTATTTTGCTCGATGTACTCATCTCGTATT